AAATGTTAATGTGATGGAATAATTAAGAAGACACTACAGAGAAGCAGGAATGATCGAAGCAATGGCCCATTTGCCCTCATTCAGGGGGTCTTTTGATCAATACCAGGCAGCACAAAACTGATCACCTGCCTGATGAACCACTGACTGGTAACTGGGTGTTGCAGGAGATTGCATGGCTGCAATTTTAAGACCCCACTTAAGGAAAAAGAGAGATGTGAGGAGGACTGGCAACACAGTGTCGCTTCCAGCAGCATGTCATCTGTAACACTGATTTTTCAACTGCCTCTTCCTGTATTGTCAAACTCCTCATGACGTGATGTTATTCAGCTTGTGATTGATTACTTTATCTAAATACATCACCTGTTTTCAAAAGAGATAATACACATCTGACAAAGAGCCCAAGATTAGATGAATGATACAAACAAATCAAAACATTTTAGAATCCAAAACCTCATCAAAAGCTCCACTTCCTTCCTATTCACTGCAGCAAATGTAGTCTCGATTTTCTCATCTGTAATTAATCCCTCCTTCCTCGAGGTAATGATCAATCCCCAACATCTGAGATTAAACTAGAGAGATTTCTTCTCCTGCACTTCAAATTGTATCATTATCTGGTCTGAGCCCACTTAGTAATTAGCAGAGCCTAATTCAAGTCTGCCTCCATGTGGCCTCTACTCTCACACCTGCTTTGTAACTCTGAGCAACACACTCAATATAAAGGTCTGAATCTTCTTGTATTAGTCTAATGACTCAGTCTCCTGTGTCATCCTGTTGCTCTGGCAAAAGTGAAGACAGATTAGTGCTCTGTCACTGTCTTTGCACATTGCTCTTCTGGTCATTTTTAGGCTAAAGGAGTGGAGTTGAAAACAGCTATTTAATAGATAACATGCCCTCCACAACCACTTAGACACAGGGGAGTCTTATCTTAATGGCAAAAGTAACATGCTTTGTAATATTGTTAATCAAGAACTGCAGCAGAATTATAAGCTGTTGTGTTTCAAGTCACATAAAAGCTTCACAATCATCCACTTATTCATTGATCAGTATTATCAGTAAGGACTGAAGCACCCTGTTCCTCTGGCACACAGACACAACCTCTGCCAAAGCAGCTGCATACGCTCCATACAGTGGTTTTCTTTAACTAACACCTGTTTTAGAATATAAATCATGCAGGATTTCTTACCTAAAAAGAGAGAATTCCTTTCCATGTCGTTCACCTTTCAATAGAAAATGAAAATGTGGCGGCAGGTCCGTAGCTACTATCCCCCTGCCAGTGCTGAGAGAGAGTCAGAGAGATAGAAAGAGGGAGACACAGGGAGGGAGGGAGAGACGTGCCGGGTTATTAGCCAGGGGGAATCGGGGGAATTGGAGCAGTTGCCAGTTACAACAGCTTTTATTGAAAGGACCCCCAAACACTATAAAAGCCGATATTATATGGCATGGTCGAAATGTTGATGAGATCTCACGTAACCATGTGTTTAGAGTGCTCTCATAAACAGCACAGGTAACCTACTTGTTGCCTCCTGCGTGGTCAAACACGCAGCCATAACCTGGGAGCAGGAGTCTTATGGCTCCATGGCTGCACCGCGGTTTATATATTTATGACTCACCTGTTAGCGGTGAGCACACATGCTATCACCAAACTATTTCGCCCTCCTTTTTATTTTAGTTTTTTACAATGTGCACTCCATTTGTTGCCATAGGGACCAGTAAAAAAGAAACCAAGCTCGTGCCCGCAATAAAAATCAGTCAAATGGAAAGAATGAAGCGATAATCTCGTGAGGTAAAAATGACTCAGGTGAGCTGGACTCAGGGTTAGTGGGTTATGCTGATTTTTTTTTTTTTTTTTTTTTTTTTTTTTTGGAATGAGTGGTGCGTTGGCTGTATGTGTGTTCATGAGTGTGTGTATCTGGGTGTGATACACACTCAGGCCGCTGGGTGGCAGTAAATGCATATACATTGTGGTAAGTAAGCTCTGCTTTGTTTGCCATGCATATAAACTGCATGTATTTACAGTCTGTGGCTCTGACTAATTAATGATGTTTCAGTTTACCCTTTAAAAGAAAGAAAGAAACCCAACATTATATGTAAAAAAAAAAGTCAATCAAACTCGCAAATGTACATTGTGTGTAACCATAGTGTTTGTGTAGCCTACTTGTCATATTATCATGAGTTATTTTATATATTTATTTATTTGTCTTTTTTCCATTTCACTTTTCTCTACCTGACACTTATGATTTTCTTTAACTGCAAATGTATGTGTTTACTTAAAGTTTATTATCTATTTTATTTGTATGTATGCTATAAGTAAACTTACTGATGGTCCAGTACTTGGGGTGGATTTGATGTCATTGTTCTGTGTTTAAGTTGTCCACTTTTTTATATTTGAAAATAAAAAAGACCATGATCCAAAAAAAAAAAAAAATCACTTGCAAATGTAGGTACCTTCATTACTGGTTTTATGTAGGATGAAGTCAGGTCATTTGACATTTTATGGGGATAGATTACCAAGAAAATCACCTAAAACTCTGAAGAAGAGTGTTACTTTTACTTTTATGGATGTCTACTATATTTGCATAAAGAAAAAATGTACTTATCCTCCTTTTGTTACTGAACTTCTTTTTTTTTTTTTTTTTTTTTTACGTTGAATCAGTGTGTGTTGAACCTGTACCTCCATGGACTATCAAGGTATGGGCAGGAGGGGATGGGTGGGAGATGGGAGGGATGTTTGTTCAGAAAAGAAAAAAATGGAAGGAAAAGTATTGTTTCAATTGTAATTCTGTATGTTTTGCAATTAACTTTCAATAAAACAACAGTTTTTTTTTTTTTTTAAAAAGAAGAAAGAAAATATGTTGCTAAGTAAAACACTTTAGAAATGTTGGACCTTCAAACACACGAGGAACCCCTACCTCACTCTGATGACATGCTCAGCGAAAATGGGACAGCTCAAATTAAATGAAAGCCTTTATTGTCATTGCATGTTCACATACAACAAAATTTGATGTCTGTCATTAAAGAAAAACTGTTTCTTTCACTGTGCCTAAACACACACTCACATACCCACACATTAAAAAGGATAAGGCCAAAATATGATAAATAAGGTGCTATAAAAAGGACAAGATAAAGTGCATATGCTGTTGTACATCAGTCCGTGGATGTGCAATTTAAAATTGTTGTGGTGATGGGAGAGGGAGAGTTCAGTCTGTGTATGGCTATAGGGTAAAAACTGCTCCTCAGTCTGGAGGTGCAGCATTTCAGGGCCCTGTAGTGTCTTCCAGAGGGCAGCAGTAGAACAGGTCCAATAATTTTTTGTGCTGTGTTAACCACCCTCTGGAGAGCTCCCATACCAGGCTGTGATGCAGTACGTCAAGATGCTCTCCACTGAGCAGTGGTAGAAAGACTCAAGCAATTTTGTAGAGAGGTTGGTCCTTCTCAGCGTCCTGAGGTAATATAGTCTCTGTTGGGCCTTTTTCACCAGAGCAGTGGAGTTTACAGTCCATTTGAGGTCCTCGCTGATGTGGCTGGTGAGGTAAAAATGGGACAATCATGTTTGTTTTTTTAATGGTTAAACACATTTATCAGTTTAATCATAATTCATTAAATCATTAATGTATCCTCCTGTGGCTATTCATTAAAAAAGATTGTCCAACTTTTCTGCCATGCTTTCCCTGTTCCCATACTACCTGTTTCCTTGGTGCCATATTGTCTACAATGGGCAAGTATGTGCTTGCATGCATATAACACTGATGGCTAATTGTAGACTACTGTAGCTGACATGGACTCACTGCATCAGCTCTGATATTTTTTAAATGACAAAAATATTGAAAGTGTCTGTAATATGACAGGGTGGCACACAATAGCATACATTACGATTTTATGGCACCTGGTAGCCTAAAAACAAAAATATTCCATTTAAACTTAATTTTTGTTGTCCAATTTCATTTAAATGCATAAAGTATTCAATCAAAACTCTGCCCCATAAAAAGGCAAAGCAAACAGTAAAAAGGGTTTTGCTTATAAGTCAAACTGTTAATAAAATGCAACATCCTACAGCCATTTTTTTTTTATTATAGTCATACTGATTCAGCTGCAGTACTCTTATTAGCAAAATGAGAAAATCAGCATGCAACATGGTTTACCTTGGAAGTTCTTGGACCAGTGATTTTTTTTATCCTTTGATTCTTTAGTGTGCCCAAACTGGTTATATCAGACCAGTATGAGTCCTTGTTTCATATAAAGCACAGTTGTATTGACAGTGCCATAAATGTTTGGTTATTGGCTGCTAACATTTAAAGCCCAAGTCCCATTTTACTGTATTTACTAGTGACCTGAGTTTACCCTAGTTATTTATACTCAATCATGATAATCTATTAATTTATAGTTTAATATTTTTAACTATTAATCAGAATAATTTTCTTGTGTATTAATTGTGTTCGTGTGGCTAATTATTTGACTTTTGTCATCCCATGGCTTCTCTATTTTATTCCAGAATATCCAAATATGTGAATTACTTATTAAATAAAGTTATTGAGTTGAAAAAAAAAAAACACTTTCCTTTACATATTTACATCTATCATATGGACAAATAGTGTAGTCCTGAGGCAAATATGCCCAGTGATGTGGGATGGGTTCAGTGGAAGTAGGACACTGATCTACTGTGCTGTCAATCATCACTTATAGGCTACAATCTGGTGCTCCATATATACTAGGACGTTAATGTGGGCGAATTAATTTAGGTTCAATCCATATAACTGTATGTGATATATTTACATTTTGATATGCTATCATAATAATCTATTTATATT